GAAGCTTTTCCAGAACTGTTTTCGTGGGGAATTATTTACAGATTGCAGGCTGCTGCTTCCTCCTTTTCTTCTTGTTTGGTTGCGTGTATATGTAGTGGCTTGTTTTGTAAACCAAAATCTGGCATTGTTTTGTGTTGCTGGTCATTTTTTATGGTCCTCTTTGAGGCTTGCTTGGTGGCTTTTTGGAATGTAAATCCTTGCCACCTTTTTTGTTTTCTTGTCTTGGTTGCTTGGGCTTGTCCAAGGGACTTGACTTTGTAGGGGTTGAGACTTATTTTTTATTTCTTTATACAATTACCTTTTACCCAAAAAATATACAAGAAAGGTTATGGAAATGGAGAAAAAAAGCATTTGAGATGACAAAAAATATTTGCCACGCCTATATTATTTTGACAATAAAAATTTGTAATGTAAAAATATTGTATTAAAAATATTTGTCTTGTTATTAAATTTTTTACAAAATTATTTTTCTCACTATATAATTTTCGATAAATAATATTATCATATAAACAAACATGTGACAAAGTAAATGTTGTCACGATAAGGTCATGACAAATGAATTTTGATCACTATAAAATTATGAGAAGATAATTAGTCATTATTCACAATTTTTGATAAAATCAATTTCGTCATCATTTATTTCTCACTATAAAACTTATCATTTGGTATTTAAATAAAATCAATTATAACAAAAATATATTATAGTGATAAAAATGTCTTCTATTGTTACAAATAATTTATCACAATAAACTAGTTTGAAGTGACAAATTATTAATGTCACAACAATAATAAGCTATGGTGACCAAACGCTTTTCGTCACCATACACATAGAGTACGAGCTTAATGTGACTAACCTGGGACTAATATAATTCCTCACATTAAAAAAATAGTCACAATTTTGATATTATAATGACAAAATTATTTTTGTGAGAAGCCTAAATTCTTGTGTGTATGGGTTTCACAGCAACACATCATGGCACTACTCTTCACAGACTGCTCTTCCTGAATTCTTTCACCGGAAAAAGCCCCCTGTTACAGACGAACAAATCACGAAAAACAAGTTAAAATTGATGCAAAAATTGAAGAAACCCCAAACCCCAAACAAACAATAAATCCCAACGACTAGCCAGGACTGATGATGAACCGACGATATCCAGTTCAGATCTGACGAAAATCTGACGAAGATCCAACGGTGGAAGGTCCACGAAGAGAACAAATCCGGCGAAGATCCGGCGAAGCTAACGAAGATGAACAAGATCTAGCCGCAAATCAACACTTTGGGAGGATTTGATTCAAATTTTACGGCAAGGGTTCGAGTGTGACGGATTTTTTGCGATTTGGGGATTTTACTAATAGGGGCCAGTTTGTTTTTCAAAACTTGTTTGCATTATTTTAATTAAGTCTCAATTTTTAGAAATTCTCAAAAACACTCCGCTTTTTCGAGCCAGGTGCGGCTCACGAGCCAGACGAGCCAAGCCTGTATGGCTCGAACTGGCTGTTTTGTTCACGAGCCAGTTGAGCCGGCTCGTTATCAGATGAACCAAGTCGTTAACGAGCAGGACTTGAGTCGAGCAAGCCAGCTTGCGAGCGGCTCGGTTCGTTAACCAGCCCTAGTAATGTGTCACCCATTTCTCTTCTTCTTCTTCTTCTTAGCAGTGAAAATCACACGTGAGCGGGGGGGGGGGGGGGGGGGGGGGGGGGGGGGGCGGGGGGGGGGGGGGGGGGGGGGGGGGGGGGGGGGGGGGGGGTGGAATCACAGGACAGGAGACTCACAGGAACAGGGAGAGACCATGAAAGTTGGTCATTATTGTTCTATGGGAAGTGGGAAAAATATCAGAAGATCAAAAGATTTTTCTTTCTCTCATTTAAAGCAAGCAGGAATATTTTATTTAATTTTTGAAATTTGTCTCTAGCCATCCCGTCACCTCACCTGTGCTGACACATTTAATACTACACATACATCATTTTCATACAACATTTCTTATACAACATTATGTGGCAAGATATGATTGGCTAATTTAAAGTTAAAATTAAACTTTCACCCAATCATATCTTGCCACATAATGTTATATGAGAAATGTTATATGAGAATGATGTATGTGTAGTATTATTCTTTGTTTTTGCTATATTTTTTAAATATAAATTTATAGAAAGTCTTTAATAAAACAACATTCATGCTTTAAAATCAATAATTAACACTCATTTATAGATATGCATAGGCTGTTGCGAAAACTCGCAATAGCCAGTGATACCCGATCACCGTGGGATTGGATAAAATGCGTGTGTGAGTAAAATTAACCAGCGGATGGGAGAACAAAAGAGGTTTTTAAATTCATTTCATAAGTTAGAATTAAGTTTACGGCTATTTCTATATCATAAAAAATATTATATTTATAATTTAATATCATAATAATCTCTTACAATCCTAATATAAAGCATATTAATATTGTTATGCTAACTTTTACTATACTCAAAACACTCAAGATACTATTAAGAAGAAACAGTTATTCCTTATAAAAGAACAATCATTCCTTTCATAAGGAATAGATATTCTTTATGAAAAGTGAAACAATCATTCCTTTTATAAGGAATAATTGTTCCTTATAAAAAAAATAATTATTCCTTCCACAAGGAACAATTATTCTTTCCTATAAAAGAATGATTATTTTTTTTGTTTAATCAAAATTATTTTATATCTTTGATGTGGTAGTATTAACGTGATAGCATCAACTTAACTGTCACGTCAGATTTGTAAAAAAAGTTAGTGAAAAAAGATTATGGATATTTGCTTTACAACAAGACCCGATTACAAAGGAGAAATATGATGAACAAAGTTGAACTCTCTGCCAAGGCAGTTTAAATGAATGGGAAAAAGAGAGAGAGAGTCCCTCCATTCGGGTAAAAAATCAGATTATATACGTCATTTAACTTATGGACAATTTATAACTTAAAAACAACAATGGGACCGTGAAACAATAGTAGATTATTGGGGCACATGGCATAAATCCATGTTCGTTGGATTAACCACACAAGAGCATACATGCAGAAGAATTTACTACATCCATAATGAAATTGATTCATCACTTGGGAAATTTGGATATTCATTTGATGACGATGAATGCAACATGTCCCAAATAATATCCAAAATTACAATCTCAATGAAAGACTGAGGTTTTCATTTGGAATGTCTACACATAAATTAGATAAAGTTTCAACCAAGTAGACATAAATTAGCTTCACAAATTAGTGTTGTTGCCAATTTTGGCATTGGCCTTCACATAATTCTTTTCTCAGATGTCACCATTACAACAATCACAAGCCATGAAAATACAAATCGGTCAAATAACCCTTAAGCAAAAACAAACTGCTGGAGTGTCTCTTCTAAATACTGTCCTCTGAGTTTACATTGTCTATAGCTCAGTCTCACAAAATCGAACCATTAATTCAGAAACCATTCTGCGAGCAAAAGGAATAGAACAACTGTACCTGTGGCGATTTGAAAGATAATAACATAAGCAGTTTGTATAAGATAATAGTTCAAAATGAAACAAGTAAAATTGATCAAAAATTGGACTATCTTTGCCGGAGGAGTGTTGGTTAGAAGGGCAGGCACCAAAGAATAGAATTGAAGAAATGCGAAAATTTAGTAAAAAAGAAATGACGGCAGTGTGTACCAGCAAAACGATGGATGTAGGCGAAAAGCAAACTTACCAGATAAGAGCAAATTTTCAAACTATTGTTTGACAGTTGGAGAAAGTTTTAGATGCATATACAACAACGCTAAAGATGACAAGGTTATTTTAATAACAAGAAGTAGCATTTACGATTGAGAAAATGACTTAAATACTTTCATGATTGAAATGGGCAAGTTGCTGTTGCTGCTGCTGCCGACAGACACATTTAAGAAAGTTTCATGAGCTTAGAAAACAAGTTTTGGTAGATTTTCACATGTTGTTTTGGTCTAAAGTTGATGTCATTTACACATCACAATCACAATACTGTTCTCAATTTTTATTTTTTTTAAGTTTTTGCATGGTCTAAAACTTGGATACTGATCTCTTTGTCCGTCCCTTTCGTCTGGCCATTCTTGGTTGGTTCTTGTTGCCAGTGGTGTCAGTAAGTTTAAGTTAGGCTTCCAGTAAAGGTATGATCTTATCTGCAAGTAGGCATGGGTCTCTACTCTTCAACTGACTTCATGTAAGAAACAATAATCTTCAAAATCCCTCACTTTTGGGGAGTTTTTAGGTAATGGACTTGGCCCTTTAACTAATGGAGAAGTTGGTTTTTTGTGAATTGCGATGCCCAACTAATGGTCCAACTCTTCCCTGAACTGCAAGAGCATTGGGTTAGCCCAACCCATCAAATGGCTTCATAATTTTTCTGGCCCAATGGCTTGGGCACAGTTGATGGGAAGCAGGGAATCCATTTTGAGAACATATCGAGTTCTTTTCATATATGCTTTCATAAAGTTTATTTGTTGTTGCAAACCTTGAGTCCATCTTGATGGAGCTCAATTCGCTGATTGAAAATCTTTGACCAACAGAAATCAGAAGACGGGAGTTTCATACAAGCATATAACAGTTGACAGAACTCTTTTCTCATAAGGGAGTGAACAGAAATCTTGAAACTAAAACACAGATAGAGGGAATCAAAATGATCTGGAACACAAATTATCCTGTAAATATGCAGAATTTATCACTATAACAACCACAATTCCACAAAAGTCTCAATATTAAATAACCCGTTGCACCAATTCAATCCCAAGAATCATGTTATAGGTGGCTTAACCACTGCCAAAAGTAGCATATCAATACATTTGAGAATCTGGGCGAGAGGCAAAACTATAAAACATACACCACATAGTTGAAATGCTTGGAGGAAACAAAAGCAGAAGGCATATTTTCTACCTTGTATCACAAAACCTATGCAAAACTACAGCATTCACAACTAGAGGCAAAAAGGTGTGCAAGCTACAAAATTATATTTCAGATCCCTAGGCCTTAACCCCGATCCCCATAATCCAACACCATGCTTCGCAGCCGCGCTGATCTCACACTGTTTGAACGGCGAAGTTCATCCATATATGCATAACCATTTAAGGTTCTTTCAGGTGCTTCTTCCATATACCTTTCCAAGCCAAGAATAACTGATCCATGAACTGTATAGTCCACTCTATGACCAGCTCTTCCAAGTGTCTCCCTAACATTATTGAAGCTGAAGCAACTGCTAGAGATCCTTGCACTTTCTTGTTGGTCATTCATATTTCTGTTGAAATTTGTGGGAGGATGTCTAAAACTGTCAAACCGGTGCGGTTCCTGAACAAAATAGTCCACACCATTACCAGCTCTTGCCAATGTCTCCCTTGCCTTATTAAAGCTACCATAAAAGTTCCAGGGGTTTTCTCTTCTCATATTTATCGTTAAAGGTACCCCCACATATCCTGGGAATCTATTAATATCTATGGTTAAATTTGTATGATAATGTGTTAGACCAATTGAACTTCCCTGCTTCTGCGTTTGGATTGGTAACTCTTGAAGTTGCTGAGGTCTTCTGTTAGCATTTCTCTTGTTCCTTGTCCTTCTAGATTTCTTCTTCGAAGATTGAGAGAATCTAAATTTGAAGGTACTGCATTCACCCAAGGGAAAGGACTCATCACATATCCAACCATCTCCTCTCTTATTGTTGTAACCAGGGTAATCTTCTATCTTAAAACCGACGCACTCGATTAATGACAGGGAGTTTCTATAAGCAAGTTCCTCAAGATTCCAGCTGCAAAATGGACCAGTTGTTTTGTGGCTTACATGAACTTCACCACTAGCCCTCAACATGCCGCTTGCATTTCTGTAAAAACCCTGCACAAGACTCCTATGCATCCTGTCAAGACAGATTATGATGAGCATTTGGAATCAGCTATTCAGAAGAAGGATCACAAAATCCCAAGAGTTAGAATAAGGCAGCTTACTTAATCATAAGCACATTATGTTCCTTTCCATGAAAGCCTGCATGAGGAAAGTTGAAGATGATTCGATCAAACTTCCTCATTCGCAAATGAGGATGAACCTTCATTTTGGTTGCATCAACACCATGTAAAATGCATGCTCCCAGCCTCTCTAGAGTTTCCAAATTTGATTTTGCTTTCTTGTATTTGCTGATCACCGTTACTAAACGATTGAAAATTAATTACTTGAGTTCCCCAAAGAGGCAGTTAAAAATAAAATAAAAACACCAGAAGAAATAATAATAAATATAAAAAATCTTTAGTTATACCATTACTTGTACAACAAGCACTCGCAAGTCAATCCCAAGAGAACATTAAAATGATTCTATAATTGTTTATTTGGTTCTTCTTTGTCAATTTTGTGCCAAATTGAACATCCAAAAGTTTCTTTAGTCCACAATAGAGAGTGTATAAAATTTTCTAGAGAAATGAATACTAGAGTTGCTGAGGAGTGTCCAACTGTCCATCAAACCAATACACATCTTTTCCGAACAATGATAAAGTATCACCTTTAAACTTAAAATGTAAGTATTAAACCGTTAGTTCATTACAATCTGATGATAATAAGATCAAAGTTAAAAGATCAGTTTTTTTTTTTTTTTTTCTTTTTTCATGCAAAAAGAGTAATTTTTAACTAATTGGACTGCAGAAGACAGATGAATATGTGGAGACAATGTAATGTGTTGTATTGGTATACCGTATGAATCAAGAGAAGAGGCGCAGATGTTTGTAGCAGAGCCAAAGGAAAGGGCTAAAGACAAAGAAAAGGAGAAATCTCCTTCACCCACTAGAAGAAGTTGATGGGTTGATGAGTAATGTTTCACCCATTTCTCTTCTTCTCCTTTAGCAGCCATAGCCATCACATCAGAGATTCACAGGAACACGAAGAGACCATGAAAGTTGATGAATGTGGGAAGTGGGAAAATTATCACAAGATCAAAAGATTTTCTTCTCTCATTTAAAGCAAGCAGGAATATTTTATTTTATTTTTTAAATTTGTCTCTAGCTGTCATGTCACCTCACCTGTGCTGACATATGTATTTTTGCTATTTTTTTTTTCAATTTTTTTTTTAAATTATTATTAAATATGAAAAAATATATGTAAATATATATTTTTAGAGACAATCTTTAATAAAACAACATTCATGCTCATGTCCAATTACTTAAGAGTTTAAATCTTAATAATTAACGTGAGTTGCACTCATTTATAGATATGCATATGTTGTTACGAAAACTCGTAACAACTAGTGATATCCAATCAGTCACGAAATGATAGAATAAGATGTGTACGTGATTAAAATTAACTGTTATGGATGGATTAATGAATCCACAATGTGAGAACAAATGAGGTTTCTAAAGTGGTTTGACAATATTATGTTATTGCTTAGCATTTGCTTTACATTAAGATTGATTACAAAGGAGAAATATGATGAACAAAGATGAATTTTCTATCAAGGTGGCTTACATGAATGGAAAAGAGAGGGAGAGTCCCTCCATTCGAGTTAAAAATCATATTATATATGTGTTGTCACTAGGGGTGTTCAAAAGAACCGATCGGAATCGAAATTGGAACCAACGGACACCTAGGGTTTGGTTTCGGTTCCTACTCAGAACCAACCGTCAATGGGTAGGTTTCAATTCCAAAAATCTAAAACTGACATTATGCGGCTCCAGTTCCCGTTCTCGTTCCTGTAGTGGAGAACCAGAATAAGAACCGAAACCATCTTTGTTAATTTGTATAAATTACACTGTTGAATACTTAATTCTTCTATACGTGTTATTAGTAGCAACAATCTCTTTGTTTTAATCATTGAGCTAGGAAAAAGAAGTATGTAAATAATACTTTTATTTATTGATAGCATTATATCACATAAACATTCCATATATAAACATTATATGTACTTTAAATTCCATTGAAGTTGAATTTGTGATTTTTCAACAAATTATTGTAATTTGTAATGTGAAATTTTTAGTTTCCATGAAGTTGAACTGGAGTTAGAATGCCTGAAGACTTTATAATGTATTTTTAATTTTATTTTTTGTTAACAAGTGCTAGGTGGGGTATTTATGGGTCCGTTTGTTTTATTATTTTGGATAGGATTTTGGGAATAATATTGGATATTTGAATAGGGGAGTATTACGAGATAAAATTTATTAAAAAACCCCTATGTTTGCTAATTTAATAAACACCCTCACCACCCGCAGTTCCAGATTCCGGCCACCATTGTCGGAATCTAGCTGGAAAATTGCGTTACACCACAGACCGGTCGGATCTGGCAGGTAAGGCATTGATATGGCCTTTTCCGGCTAGATTCACGGATTTGGCCGGAAAAAGCTAGATCTAGCCGGCCGTCGACGGCTGCAAATGTCCATCTTTGGTCGTCGTTGTCTATCAACGATGGCCAAGATTTGGTCGTCATTGACCGTCAACGACGGCCATTTCTTTGGCCGTTGCTGACGGCTAGATCTGGCCTTTTCCAGCCAGATCTACTGTAGATCTGGTTGGAAAAGGCCAGATAAGTGAATTACCGGTTATTTTCGATGGTGGTGTAGACCGTTGTGACAGATTCCGACTATCACCGACGGTGGTTGCCGGAATCTGGCAAGTATTGGTGGGTGTGGGTGTTTTTGTTAATTTTTAAACTTTTTTTTCTGGGAGTATTTAATGAAATTAATAAACTTAAGAGGTCTAAAGTAATTAAAAAAAATAGACTAATATTTCTCAAATAATGTGCCAAACAATATTTGGGGAATATGATTAAAAATATGGGTAAAAATAATAAGCCAAACGGAGCCTATAAGTTTTTAAGGGTTTTTTTATCATTTTATAAACTTTTTGAGGGTGAAAAATTTTCTAGGGTACCCAAAATTGGAACCAGAACCATTGTTACAAGTTTCGGTTTATTTCAAGAACCATCGGTTCCAGATCTAGTTCCTTAAAAAAAATATAAGGTATCTAGAACCAACCACTAATTGTCTGAGTAGCACACTTATAAGTGAAGTTTTAAATGGAATTAGCTCAAGGTAGATTGAAATGACACACGCCGTAGATCTACCATTGAACAATAGTAGATCCTTGGGGCACATGGCATAAATCCATGCTCATTAAATTTACCGCACATAAAGAAGAATTTACTGCATCCATAACGAAATTTATTCATCACTTAACTTGAGAAATTTGTATATTCATTTGATGACGAAGAATGCAACATGTCCCAAATAATATCCAAAATTAAGGTTTTCATTTGTAATGTCTACACATAAATTAGCTGATCTTTTAGTCATAAGATAAAATTTCAACCAAGTAAAAAAAAATTAGCTTCACAAATTAGTGTTGTTGCCAATGTTGGCATTGGCCTTCACAGAATTCTTTTCTCAAATGTCACTATTATAACAATCACAAGCCATGAAAACACAAATCAATCAAATAACCTTGAGCGAAAACAGACCGCTACAGTGTCTCATCTAAATACTGTCCTCTGAGTTTGCATTGTCTAGAGCTCAGTGTCACAAAATCGAACCATTAATTCAGAAACCATTCTGCGAGCAAAAGGAATATAACTTAGACTGTACCTGTAGCAATTCGAAAGAAAATAACATAAGCAGTGTGTATAAGATAATAGTTCAAAGTGAAACAAGTAAAATTGATCCAAAATAGGACTATCTTTGCCGGAGGAGTGTTGGTTAGAAGGGCAAGCACCAAAGAATAGAATTGAAGAAATGCGAAAACTCAGTAAAAAAGAAATCAAGGCAGTGTGCCAGTGTCTGCCAGCAAAATGATGGATGTAGGCAAAAAGCAAACTTACCAGATAAGAGCACAGATTTCACAAATGATTGCGAGTATTGTTAGAATTTTGTTATGGATCTGCAACATTCAAATAAAGTATTAGTGAGAACTGATTAAACCAACAAAAAATCATATCATTAACATCGAAACAATGCCAAAGTTGCTCTCATCCTTAAGGCATATTTGAAATAAAGCTGAATAACAGCAGAACTACTGGCATAAAAAAATGCATGGACACAGGGATTAAAATGTATGCTATTATGAGTACGAAACTAAAAATGGGTGAAACTGAACTTGAAGTATGTTTCCCACGTTTTTAACTTTCATCACTTTGTTAAAGTTCTGATGGTTTGAAGATTTGGATCCATTTCAGCATCTCAATGAACATGAGCAAGAGAGAGAGACACACACACAGAGAGATGCATAAAAAATTCTCTTGATGACGTGAACTGAGGCAGCTTACAGAGGCACATGGTGTTGATAAAGAAAAAAAATGATTAAATGTTTCACCACTTGGAATATACAATTCGCAAGCATTTAGAAATATAAAAACTCTCTGGCACTCAATGAGCTTAAAAAATAAAATAAAAAATCAATCATACAATTTTTTAAATTCAATGAAGTGGAGATAGGTGTCAAAGAAGATATTTTATCTAACAAGAAAATCATCAGGAAATGCCATCAGATTCTTTCTTGATAGATATGAACTAAACAAAATCTAAACAGAAACCATATATTTCATTTGCTAAATAGTTGTGTGAACTGAGAAAGATCCATCCAGTAGAATAAAACACTGTATCAAGATATGTTTTTGGACTAGCAAATTTGAACAATCTAAGCAGGGGAACCCTATTCAATATCGTCATATATCCTAGGTATTTTGCATGCAAACTTCCAAGCTTTCACTTTAACTCAAAACACCTCATTACTAAAACGGGAATCAGGATCAAGAGTGTAAACGTACCCAGAGAGCAGAAATGAGAGCAATAACAACAAATCCAAGGTATGCAGCTGTTGCATAAAGACGTGTGGAATCAAACATCATATTTAACTGTTGTCCAGGTCCAATAAGGAAGGCTGTGCTGCCAAACATGAAAAGGAATTTAGAATCTGAGAAACATTCAGAGCAATAATATTCAGTTGAAACAAGTAAAGTGACTGCAGGAAGAAATCATGCTGAAAACAATAGACCAACTTTGAACATCATAAAGTCTTCTCTTCAATATAAACCAACTTATATCAACTTTGACAGGTGAAAATTATTGGAAGATGTACAGTCTGGATGCATTTGTCGAAGTCAGCAAAATCCATATGTTAGTATATGGATAAGGATAGAGCGAATTTAGCAATTTGGTAGAATCTTTGACACGGGAAAAACTATATCGGATTCTATTTTTATATTTTTGAATGTCTGAATTAGAAAATTTCATGAGAGCCTCCATTTTCTTGATGAAATGAAGAAGCAAAACAAGCAGATTGACCACAGTTTTATTATTAGAAAATACCATGATTCCTACAATATGATTGATGAATCACCAAAACTAAGAAACTTGTAGGGACTTTTAGTCTGGATATCATCAGAGAGTAAGTAGCAGAAAATCTAAAAAATTAATATGTACACTCATAGCTTGATGCACAGTAACCACACTTCCAACTGCCAATACGTTGCCAAAGGTGAATAATATTGCGAATTTGATGGGTTTGAGAAACAAATCATTGACTGCAAAAGAAGCAAAAGTTATGAGAAAAAGTTGAAGAACCACCAACAGATTAGTTTTTTGGGTTCAGTGAGCAACTTAACGATAAATTCCCATATGCATCTTTAAATCTTTCAAAATTCATATTTCAATTGCTAAAAAATCTAGATTTTTCTCCTTTAAATGAGCAATTTCTCATTATGAAGCTTCCTAAACTTTGCCCCCAACCAAACTAAATCATGCATTCTAACCATATAAGAAATAAAAAGTGGAAAATTTTGATAATATTCAAATTAGAATTAAGTTTTAGGCATCAAGCGTCTCATATTATCATTGTTTCAGTTCACATAACTTCAGTTTTCACAAGCTTTTTACAAGTAAAACCCAAAGCAGTTCTTGCTTCCAAATCAAAGCCGATTAATACCATTTACGCTACATTTTGATTTTAACATACATATCGACTCATTTATTTTTTCTGACCAAAAAAAAAAAAAAAAAAAAAAAAAAATTCAGAAGTCTTTGTACCAGAAACATACAAGCGAAACCACCGACCAAACACGCAGCGAAAGCATACATTCTCTGTAGAAGAAAAAACACCCACAAAGGCTTTGAATTAAAAGATGAATCTTGATGACCGAAACAAGTCAATGACTGAAAAAAGGAAGGGGAAAATTGTGAGTTATGTTGAAAGAACTACCTGCGTGTAAGAGAGGGAACAGAAGCCGTCTGATTCTTCATCCGACAAGCTCGCCTCTCTGTCATCATCGTCCCCCGGTATCAGCTGCTTCAGTTTCCACATTTAAGCTTTACTTAATCTTTTAGAGAGACTGAGACGGAGAGCTGGAGAGGTAGACCGGAAAAGAAACAGAAGTAAGTGGGCTCCCTAAAAGTGAAACCAACAAGCTTTCATTTTTTTTTCCTCAGCGGGTACCAGCCTGTAAAACAGAAATACTCTATACTAATTATGAAATTATATAAAAAGGGTTAACATAGTTAATCCCGTGTTTGCCCTTTTTAATGGAGCATTCACTGATTGCAGAAATTTACCATAACTTCTCTATGTTTGGCCTTTTTAGTGGGTATCTGTTAGTTTTAGAAATACGACGCTAACCTCTGTGTTTGACTCTTTTTATATTGAGTTTTACTAGTTTTTGAAATGCCATCAATTTATCAACAATTTCATCAATTTAACCTCTAAACAATATATTAACCCTTTAACATTATTGTGTGTGATTTTTTCATTAAGTTTTAAGAAGTTAGAGTCTCACTACATTCCGTTGAATTGCGAGAATATCAAAGTTGTACTTCTATCTTGATTATAATTCTTTTAATTTCGCTCATTTCTTTGTAAAAAAACTTGCATATAAACTCCTTCCAACAAAAAGGTTAGTAAATTATTTTAGGTATATTATTATTTCTTGTAATCTCTCTAAGAAATAAGAAATACATTGGACGTAAGCTTAAGATTAAAACTTGTCGAAACATTTTAAAATTCCTTTGTGTTCTTTACTTTCTTTGTATTTAAAGTTATTATATTGTTGATTTTAATTGATTACACACACATTGGTTCCGGTTTCACCAAGATCAATTAGATCACTCTAGTTGGTATAAATCTTGCATCAACAAACATTATTGACAGATTTTAAATGTTTATTGATTAAATTTGGATGAGTAGTAAAAACCAGGGGCGGATTCAGCCCCTTTGAGGGTAGGCCCAGATTTGAAAAAAAAAATTATTAATATACAGGCCATAAAAAATTGTTAATTAACATATATACTCAGACCCACCTTCAGATTTTTAAAAAATAAGAACTATTATACATACTGTATATCTAGGTCTACAAAAAAACTTATTTTATATATATATATATATTCTAAGCCCACATCATGTTAAAAGTTTAAAACTCTCTCTAGTGTTTTTCTACACAGCTTTACCTGTTTTTTATGATTTTATCCCCAAATTCTTTACTCTCTGTCTCTCTCTTTCTCTTTCTCATGTTATTCGTTCTTAAAATTTCTGAAGACTGAAATTGTTAAATTTTCACTACTCAAGGTAATTAGCTCTGTTTTCTGTTTTATCGATTTTAGGTATATGTATTGTTCATTTCAATTTTGTTTATTTAAGGATTGAATCATTTTTTTTCTCTTTGAGGTTTTTTGTTCTAATTTGAGAGAAAAATATATTAATCTTGTGAGTTTATTTTGTATTTTCTGTTTAAGAATGAATCTGCTTTCTCAAATAAAAACCTAAACTATATTTTAAATGACGTTATTTTTCATCCTTCACCCACCACTTTCCTACATTTTAAACGTCACCATTCAGTTGTTTAAAATTATTAAAGAAATTTGAGCTACTATCTATTTTTATACTAAAAAAATTTCCCCTCTTTTATTAATTTATATTAAAAGTCAACGTAACGTTGAATTGATATAAGTTTTGGTTGACTTTAGCTTAATTAAGTTAGGTTTGATCAACGCTATAAAAATTTATATTATAATCTTTGAAAGCAAAAAATAAAAATATTAAAAGAAGGTTTTGTTTAAGGTTTATTCAACACTTTTATTCAAAATTTTGCTTCTCATAGATTTATTCAAGTAAGAAAATATTATGTTATTGTATATTATTTTTTCTTATGTTCTTAATATTGTATTATTTTTTCTTATGTTCTTAATATTGTATTATTATTTTTATTAAGGTTTGGTGATTTTTTAAAGTTTTTACTAATTATTTGACAAATAATGATGAAGCTGCGGAAACCCCTCTCGACAAAAATCCTGGATCCGTCACTGATGAAAACATTAATTCTTTCAAACTTAAACAAAATAATATAACCGTCCACAAAAAATGCAAAATGAGGGATAAGGTGACTTTTCCGAGACTAGCGGGTGTTTACGGTAAAAAAAACACCAAACACATGGGGCTAGGGAGGTTTTTTCATATATAATCGGGTTTTACGTAAAAAAAAAAAAAATTCCTTACATAAATAACAGATTTTTTAATAGCATAGTGCATACTATACTTCATTTAAAATTTGCAAATTTTAATTAAATTCATTTGTTTCTATAAACTTTTAAACTTAACAAATATAAATCAAATGGTATCACTTATACTTCCTTGAAAATCTTTGAAATGGATATAAAAAGGAATATAATTATTAATCCAGTGCTCCAATAACGGTAACGTTACCACGGCAGGAACTCATTCCTGCTATTACACAAACTACAATCCAATGAAATGTTGCCACGTCACTGTAAAACGACGCCGACTTCCTTCTGCTACTTGCAGTCCAGTAGTTTCGTTATCAATTTAGTAATAAGAAATTTGGAAAAACCCTAACCCCTCCGGATCGGGCTCTGGCGGAGAGAGAGAGCTACAATGTCGTCGACTCTACTGGAGGTGACTCGCGCGGCTCACGAGGAAGTGGAGCGGCTGGAACGGCTTGTAGTGAAGGATCTACAGACCGAGCCTACCTCCAACAAGGGCCGCTTGTTTCAGACTCACCGCGTCCGTAACATGATCGATACAATCACCGCCACTACCGAAAAACTCGTAATTTATCCTACACTTTGAATTTTGGCATCTTTTATTGCAAAGTTAGAGTTTAATTATACCGCATCGTTTGCTTGTTTTTGTTTTTTATTTTTGTAGGTTGAGATTTATGAAGATAAAGATAATGCGAGGAAGGATGAGATTGCAGCTCTTGGAGGCCAAACTGCGACAGGAACAAATGTGTTTAGTGCATTTTACGATAGATTGAAAGAGGTTACTTATTTTTTTGTTTTGATTTTTAGAATTGGAAGTTGCTTCGAAGTTTGGTTACTAAAATTTATAGTGAAATTTTTGTTTATGTGCAGATTCGTGAGTACCATAGGAGGCATCCGGCTGCACGTGTTGTTGATGCTAATGAGGAATATGAAAATCTGCTAAAAGAGGAACCGCTAATTGAGTTCAGTGGAGAGGTGTGTAAGGCGAATTTAGTTAATCAACGCTTGATATTACATAATATATTGTATGCAATTTAGGGGTCTTCAAGTAAAGAAGAAGAAGAAAATTTATGAATTGAAAGTGTAAAGATAATATTCGTGGGATTTGGATATTGTTTGTCTATTAGATAACAGCTTTTCGTTTTCGTTATTATTTTTGAATTACTTCTCACCGTCAATTTTTGAATAAATTTTGTTTTCAGGAAGCCTTTGGACGGTTCCTAGACTTGCATGAACTGTTCAATCAGTACATTAACTCTAAGTTTGGAGAACACATTGAATACTCTGCTTACCTTGATGTTTTCTCACAGCCACTTAAGATCCCCCGCAAGATGAAGATGACTAGGTAACTGTTCATGGACTGTTTTGTTTTCTGATGTTTTTGTATAGTTTGATTAGTAAGTTGGATTTCTTTTCACTTGCACCTTCTTCTTCATTGTTATTCACTCAAGACTTGCAATGCATTCTTTTATTATGATTTTCTGCAGGCAGTACAGGGAATATATGGAAAATCTGCTGGAGTATTTAATTTACTTTTTTCAGCGGACAGAACCACTGCAAGATCTGGATAGAATATTTTCAAAGGTGAAACTAAACGTGATTTTTTTTTTTTGGTCTTGTACATGGATGCGAGGCAAACTTTCTGTTTTTCATTCTGTCTTAGACATGTTTAATTGTTATGTGTGACAGGTTGAGGCTGATTTTGAAGAGCAATGGGCCAATGGCATGATACCGGGATGGGATAATGAGGATCAAGAAAATGGGCATGTTCCTTCTGAGCATACTGTAATAGATCTTGATTATTACAGCACTGTTGAAGAGCTAATGGAAGTGGGTCCTGAAAAGTTGAAGGAGGTAAGGGTGACCATTTGTGATCATATCATTATTTCCAGGTTGTAATTTTGTTGCATGAATTGCTTTTTTTATATGTACAACTTGTAATCTATAGTTGCAAAGACATCTACAACTAATCTAGGTAATTGTGCCTATTACTGAAACTGTGGATGTGTCAATTTTCATTATTGGGGTTATTATTTGGACTTTTTCAGTTGGTGTTGTCTGTTTAATGTTAGTTTAGTTAATTTGAGAACATCTGTTTGATTGTATGTGGTACATGACAGGTATTTGCTTGAGTAGATCTTTGTTATTATATAGTTTTCTAACAGCTTAGACAATTTGAATGCAAATTAGAAATGCAGTCAACAGAACTAATAATAAGAAAGTGTATTCAAACTCTAGGCTAGGTTATCTGAATCTTAGTTTCTTTGGCGTTAAGGTGCTGTTTGGAATCAATTCAGACTTTTTGGGTGAGCACTGCTCCTTCTGAAAAGGCTCGATATTAGTTGGAATTTTGAATGGTTTGTAGTGGTGGAGATTGAAATGGTATTTTTTTCTCTGTTTGGAAGAAGATTATCCCTTCACTTTGTTCTTTACTTCCATATGTTCAATTTGCATGACCTTGTACAATTTTAATAGATATGCTTTTAGCATCTTCTTCTGTTATTTACTTAGTTATTCCCAATTTCTTGCCTGGCAGGCATTGGCTGCTTTAGGACTGAAGAGTGGTGGTACTGTACAACAGCGCGCAGAGAGGCTTTTCCTTACGAAGGTGATAGGACAAGCTTTTTATGTTTTATTGTGTATGAGATCTAGAGAAAATGAAAATACCTAAAATGTGATCATATTTTCTAATGTTGCATGGTTTCTGAAATAGTTTTCTAGTAAGATTTGCTAATATACTGGTAAAGGAGGGAATGGGCTATCTCTAGTATGTGTGTGGATATGTATCAGCAATTTTTCAATGGGAATGCATTATTTTATGAATTATGAAATTTTACCAATCTTAGGATGCCTGCTGAGTGGTGGTGGATTATATGATTGTAAAGACTTGGAAAGGTGTTAATATACAGTGAAATGCTCTCCAGTCTGAAGATTTCAATAATTAAGCGTTACGTATTTTCTTTCTTCTTCCAGGACAATAGTACTTTGAATAACATATTGTTACTTAAAATTTCTTTGAAGCTGTGTTCGGATTTGAGTTCACCTATTCCCTCATTGTGTGTGAATTTTTTTTTTTTTTTGGTTGCAGCATACTCCTCTGGAGAAGTTGGACAAGAAACATTTTGCTAAAGGTTCACGTGGCCCAGAAAAAAATGGAGTTGCTGCACCACCACAAGAAGTTGGCAATTTAAAAGACATTGCCTTGATGGAGGCTAAAATGCAAAAACTGTGTGACTTACTGGAAGAGGTTAGCATTTACTGCTTACTTAGTTGTCCTTGTCTTCTTGGTCAAATGGAATATGCCTTGTATTACTAGGCTTATATTTACTAATAGTAAGCATGGTGCTGCTGTTTTTCTTTTGATGGCTACTATTTGTTCAAGTTTTCTTTGACCTTGTGCAGACAATTGAGCGAACAAAACAAAATGTTGAGAAGAAACAAGCTTTGACATATGAGGAAATGGAAGCAGAACGTGAGGAAGTAAGTTAATAGTTTTCCATATCCTTTTTGTAAAATTTTAGTTCAAATTTTAAAGAGAGATGCTGTCTTTGAGGTTCTATCTATCTGTCAAATGCATGGGGGTGGGGCTTTGGTTTACTCGTCTCAGGTGGAATTGTGGATGTCATACACCCGACACTATTGCAAGCATTTCCCTTTTTTAAATTTCATTTATATGTGGGATTTTGTTTGTTATATGCAGCATATGTAATTTATGGCTAGTATATAACACAAGCACTTAGTCATGCGGTTTTTGAAGGAGTTGGGAGGCACTGGGCTTCCCTATAACTCAACTCTAGAATGTGCTTAGAGTTTTTAGGTTTTTTTGTTATGAATTGAATCCTCAAGTTGTTATAATATCGGATAACAAATGGTTGCTTGCTTTTGAATATTTTTAGCAGGAGGAGACACAAGTTGACACTGAAAGTGATGATGAAGAGCAGCAGATTTACAATCCCCTGAAATTGCCAATGGGTTGGGATGGGAAACCTATACCTTATTGGCTGTACAAGCTTCATGGTCTGGGACAGGTATTTTCTGGTCTTAATTCTAGGATACCTGCAAGCTTTTGGAGATTTATAATTTATAATTTATAATTTTTTATTATTATTATTATTATTATTTTTTTTTTGTATTTCGAATTTAAAAGGAAAATTGATGAAGTGGCTGTTACTTAGTTTTATTGGAGAATGAGGAACTCCTTGTTACTTGTTTGCTTTAGGTTTTTATTGCTCACAAGATTGTGATTCTCTAATTCAGGAATTTAAGTGTGAGATATGTGGGAACTACAGCTACTGGGGGCGTAGAGCCTTTGAGCGGCACTTCAAGGAATGGCGCCATCAACATGGGATGCGTTGCCTTGGTATTCCAAACACCAAGAACTTTAATGAAATCACATCAATTGAGGTATATCTTTCTTCTTTCTTTCTTTCTTTCTTTTTCCCCCAGAGTTTCTTGCTGCAGTAATTGTTTAGTGATAACACGTCATTGGCATGAATCGTTCCCTGTCTCAACTTGTCTATGGAATTTCTGGAACCAGTGGAATATTAATCTCCACCTGCAACAAGAATGGTCAATGTTATTGTTCAAGTCATCTGGTCAAGAATTGTTAATTTGATCTGATGATCAGTCTGATTAATAACCAGTTGATGACCATTTGACATGTCCATTATTTTTTTCTTTGGCGAATAAACAACATGATCAAATGGTCGTGATTTTGGTATGAAAATGATGAGAAAAGCTGTAGATGACTGCAAATTATGTGTACTGCAGCAATGACATTCTTTAATAAATTCTTTGCCATTATCAGCAAGTAACCTAAATATTTTATTGTGCAGGAAGCCAAAGATCTGTGGAAGAAAATACAAGAACGTCAAGGTGTGAACAAGTGGCGCCCAGATCTCGAAGAAGAATATGAAGACAAAGAGGGTAACATCTACAACAAGAAGACATACACTGATCTGCAGCGCCAAGGACTGATCTAAGGAAATGATCACCTCTGGGATGCGAGAGAAGCTACTCTTGGATTACATTCCAAGGTGGTGAGCGTTACTTCACTTGATCTCCATTTCACTCTTTGGTGGTTGGCTTACGTGTGAGCCCCTAATATGAGGTATAGTTCATGAACATTGAACTTGATACAATGTAATACTGTGACTGTTGGGTTTGGCTCAGTTTACACAGTAATCTAGCGTCAGGTCAGGGTAGGTGTTCGGATTATATCTGCTTGGCGAAATGTAATGCTGCTATATACTTGTCATAGTAATTAGCATACTTTTAAAGTAATGATTTTTTGCACCATCGAATGTATCCTTAGATTTTTCAATCTGTTTACTCTGTTTAAATGAAAAAAGAATGAATCTCAAATGTGTTAATACTTTCAGTATGTGAATTTTAGCTGTGATTTCTGTTTGATTAAGAATGCTAAAGATCAGCCGCATTTGCAGAAAGATTGTAAATATAGATACGAGCAAATGGTAGAGGGCTTTTTGAAAATTTAGTGGGGATGTATTTCTATTTTTAATAGATTGATTAATAAAGCTTAAAGAGAGTTTTACTGGATTTCAAATAACAGATTTGTAATTACAAACGAAATGTTGTATAATTTTATTAATTTCTGTGAAAATCAACGTTCTACTCTCTTGTCTCTGATCTTGAAGAGGTAACACATGGAACCCTTATGATACAACCCATCTACTAGTACAATTGAATATGATAATCACAATACAACAAATTTTTATCTACAACTTTCATTTACAGGAGACCTTGTAAACAAGAGAGCTGAACCATTCACCCCACGAAGGACTAACAGCCTCGAGTCGATATATGTTCCACAAACAAACTTCGCCAAATCAAACATTTCTGGTGGAACTTGTGTCTGAACTTCTTGAACTACATTTCTTGCAGTATCAACATTTTGATTTAATGGGTGGTCGAGACTCATTGTCACCTCAATGTCGCCAGAAACAAGCTTGACCACCGGAAGGCTTGATGGGATCTCCTTAAAGGGGAGTGCTTTCTTCCATCTGCTACCTGATAATTTCTGAACTAAGGAATTGCGGGCATTTGACTGACTCAAGGATAATCTCCCTGTAGTTTTTTCTTCCTTGAGATACAGCCGTCTTCCTGCTGTTAATCTAAATAAGGAGTTTATTTCCATTTTTCCAGTTATACCAGTCTTGTCATGGGGCCAATCTTGACCCATCATGACTCCGAAGCCAATATCAGAGGTGAGCAAAAGGCTCGTGTTTGCCTTTGTTGCTCTTACAATAGTTAGATGCACATCACCAAGAAGGACACGTGCAGGAGGTTGGCGAACGGTCAATCCTACGTGCCTCCCTGTACAGTATAATAGACGCCACTTTCCTGGTAGGAATTCCAGCCAATTCTGCACACTCCAGTGAAATTTTGTACATATATTAAGAGTAAAAGATGCAAGCTATAGTATCTTGCATGCAAGAACCATAATTCTACACTGATAAAGCCTCTATTTAGTCCATTATTGTTAATAGAAAGAAACCAACATCAAATTCATTAACTGTTTGGAACTTATATAAGAACAACAAATTAAAAGGTTCTGAAGATATAATATGATTAATTACCTTTGGCTTTGAATGAGGATTCAGTATTTCCATTAGTTCAATGAAGTGCGCAAGCCTAGCACGCTAAAACACAAAAACATCACAAGTTAACTTGTATATCTTTCCACAAAATCAAACTTAAAAGTAAGTTGCTGCCATATATTTTAACAGCCTAAAGTGCAAACGTAACATTTTCCAAAGTACAGCTTGGCATGTGGCAAGAAGATATGGAATGTCTATCCAACACGCTTCAGATGAGTCAAAAAACAACATGACATTTTCTAGAACTCCATGGAAGGTCTCAGTCTGAAACATGGTGTGGCTGTAGCTACAAAGGGGTACAGTACACCTAACAGAAACTAACTCTTATGCCACTGAAGATAGCAGATGTTGTGTGACTATGTGAATTATAGTAAGGCCCATAATATTATATGGTTTTCTTAAAACATCAATTGGTGGTAAAACAAACAATTGATATATTGTCATACCCTTCCAACAGATTGGTGATGAAAGGAAAAATTAGCAGCAGGACTCTGGTAAGACCACACTTAGAATTACACAAAGTTCAAAGAAATAAATTTATTGAGGAACTCAAATCATAGCTTCTCAATGTTAAGATTCCCAGGACACTATTCCAGGCAAAGACACAAGTAGACACTTATCCATGCATGATGATGGAACCGTGTGGAAACCACAACATACAATTTGATTTAGAAAAGGAAAATACCTGAGGCTGGCGATAGATGTACTCCTCTGTGATTCTCACTGCAGTTGACCCAAGACCCCACCTGATCATATCCATGGATGGGACTACTCGCCATCTAGGTCCACATAGAAATGGGTGTCTAAGAGCATCTAAGCAACTACTAAAAAAAAAATAATATTGTCAACAATGGCATTGTCTCTCCACAATTGCAATCACTAATTAAATATGCGTATTTATAGATTAAAATAATTGCAAAATTAATTTCAAACAATTTTGTTTCTAATTCAAATTGTGTTTGCAAACCTGTGTAAATTTGTAACTATATGTTTCTACATAAATATAGAAATAAAATGCTCAGTGTTATGACGAATGGTATACATTATTCTTTTAGAAGGCTTAGTTGCAAGCAACAAAGAGAGAAGGTTCCAACCTGCTCCCCAGTTCCTATCAAGTATCTGCAAAAACAATACTAGATTTAAGAATTCCAGTGAAGACGGAAATGGAGCAATAAATAACAATCAAGAAACAATATATGTACCTGAAGTCCAGCATTTCCAGATGGAGAATTCCTATTGAGGACTTGCAAGAGAAATTCACGCAAGCATGAAGGATCATTTCCCTGTACTTGCTCACAAATGTAAATATGGTTCAATTTGAAATGAAATTCATTACATTAACTTCAAATTATTGCAGATGGTCACAAAACGTGACGCATATATCATCCACTTGTCCTGAAAATCAAAGTAGACATTCTAAAAACAAATAGCCATTTTCAGCAAGGTTTATAGAGGTAACACAAGTACCAAAGTTTAGTTAGTTTTTCAGTTCTAAAATTGAAAAGTTCATATTAATGTGGAAGATTTAGCAGATTTTACCTGTGTGAGGAATGATTTGAACTTTGTGAAGATTAAGGGATCCATAAGTTCACGCAACACCATTTTTGCCATCATGAATCCAACACATCTTTGCAACATGAAATAGAATCAGGTCCAAGAGTGTCATACATTCACTTAAAACACGATTGTAAATCTCAGTTAATTAACTTTGCAGCATACCTCATGTCAAATGCAATCATCATTCGTCGCCTGTCCATGTTGTTGTCCAATGTGCTACTGTTTGGACCATCCTCATAAAAGTCAGCAGCATTTCCCAGTATTCCTACCTATGAAGGTCAATTCAAAAGTTACATAGGTAAAAGTATGGGATAAACAGAGAACAAAGAATTAGAAGCCGCAGTTACCACATCTACTAGCAATAGAATCTTATTAGCCTACATAAATCAAATCCCACAGCATCTATAAGTCCTTACCGCAATCACCATCAACTCGTCATAAGGTGATGGGCATGCATGTTGTAGCACTTTAATTAAACCAGATGTGCAGTCATAATATAACGGATAATTAGTCAACACTTTAACTCATATATGTTTCTTTCAATATGTCATAATGTCTTCCGATGGTTATACAAAAAGATATTCTTGATGTTTTACTGGAAAATTGTAAGAACATCATGATCAACTACAAGAGCCATAAAGCATAATTCTTATACCATGATCATCTGGAACTTACTTTAATATGTCTATCTACAGGGCTTATGTGCACATTCTCCAGCCTCAACTCTGTATGGGCAAGTCCGTGGCTGTGCAAGTAATTCACCTGAAGCAGATAAACCACAAAGACACCATAACTCTAGCTTATTGCTAATGTAAGTAAAAAATTTACAGCCTCATTAACCAGAAGCGATAGAACATACTCCAATTAGAAGATCCCTCATTAGTATTCGAATAAGTCGCAACTGCCGAGAAACAGCAGGTCCTCCAACTGAGTCATCTCCCACCCTCCGGACGGACTCCTCCTCATCCAATGCAAGAGTAGCTTCTAAGGTTGGAAGCCAATCTGATTGTTGAAGCCAATGTCGTAAAGAAAAACTGCCATGATACTGCCAGATATGAACAGAGAAACACTCAAACTTTTGTATCCTTTTTCTTTTCCACACATATCTGTGTGCGATACATTAACTTTGATAACTCTATCAAGCCTCATTTCAACCTAAATTGTTTTTGACAAAGGCTTGTCATGTTCATCTCTGCAACATAGGTGGATAGTGGCAGCATATAGATCCATCTTACGTAGGGAATGACTTACCCCATGAACAAGAGTAAATGAGCCACGACCATTACTTTTGTGTGAAGAGACATGGCCATGAACTTGCATTGAATAAGAATGATACATAAGTCTACGACGAGCAAGCTTCTTCAATACCTATAAAACATTCCAATAATTAGGATTTACAACACGACACAACTTCCAAACACCCAGCACAAATATCAGTTTACAAAGTTCACAAACCTCTATTGCTCTTCTGCCCCTACGCTGAGCGTGAAAACTAGTAAGTCTTCGAAGCACAACTCTTGTGTTATACAAAGGGCTGCAATCTCACAATACAAACAAAATAAGCTCACGCCTTAGTCTAACATATCTTAAGAAAGTAATGAGAAGGAAATAAAAAAGAAACCGAACCTGTTAGAATCATTCACAATGGCTTCAAAAACAACCTCATCAGCCTACAGGAAATCCCAATTCAATTAAATCACAAAAACAATCAAACCCCGCCATCAAATTTTCATAAAAACATTTGAATTCTTCACACAAACATACCCGCCCAGCAAGGCCAAGGCTAACACGATCAAGAATCTTGAAATCAGACATCTTGAACCTCATAACATGCCCTGACTCTTCTTCCTCCACAGAAACAACCTCAGATTCAACTCGAGAGACAACCTTCCTCGAAAATGAACACTGAACTCCAAAACTTCTCATCTGAAACATCACACAAGACTTTGACTTCCCACTAAACTGCCTACTAATCAGCCTTGTCGACAAATTCCCACTTAAACTCCATCTCTCAACACCCTCCAAACCCGGACTGGAACCAATCCCACATAGCGCCATCTAGCCAATCTGCAAAAAGACAATTTTGGATCATTCTCAAAACAAAAACAACTGTAGACGTTAGTTCTCACGTCAGTTTAAGTAACTTATTAAAAAAAAAAAAATCAATATTTAAATCTAAATCGTTGAATTATACAAAGAAATGACAAACAACATACATTATACAAAGAAATGAATCATTCAACACATATAGAATAAGTTTAAGTTCAATTGCTGAGAAACTTACCCACTACTTAATTAAAAAACTTTTAAAATTTAAATCCAACCCATTAAATTATACAAAGAAATGGGAAAGAAGATACGATTATAAGAAGGAATGAATAATTTAACACATGTAGAGTATGTTTCGGAAATAAAACTGTTGAGAACTTACCCAACAAAAAGGGAACGAAGCGGCTTAAAAGCACAGAAGAAACAGCTGAATTTGAGAAGAGTTGAAGAGTATAAATAGAAGGAGGAGAGTGTGAGAGTTACGTGAGAAAGTACGCTTGAAGCGTTGTGCCATGCGGTTTGCTCACGTCTGCGTCCGCCTCCTGCAAATATCTTCTTGTTTCTCAATGATTCTCTCCGGTGAGGCTTTTGCTTGTACTCTACAGTGAGCTACTGGGTGACGCCACGTGGTCTGGACAGCTTGTCTGTCGTTGCCCGTTTACAACTTTGCTTATTATTACAATCTTAAAAATCATTAATAATGTGTAATAATATTATACTTATAAAAAAATAATAAAATAAGATAATAAAAAATTAATAAAATAGTAAAATAAAAAATTAAATTCATTAAATTTATTTTTTTATTTATTTTTTGTCACATTATTTTATATGTAGATCTTCATAAAATTCCTTTATAAATATAATATTATCCTAATTATGTGATATGTCATACATTTTTTTTAGCCACCTTATGAGCATCCAACTTGGAAATGTGTGATGAAGTCGTACGCAACTTCTTTGGTTCATCCTTATCTTGGGCTACCTATAAACCATAACCCATGGGTGGGTTATATGTTATGCAACTTTTGCTTATTTATTTTTAATAAAAATATTATGTTTATATTTTTAGCATGTCCGTAGGAATATGTTAAACAAAAAGGAGGTGAGGGTTAGTTTTCATTTGCATAATTTTTCGTATTTGAAAATAAGTATTTCTAGAAAATAATTTATTAGAAAATGCTAAAATACTGTACAATTAAAATAAGGGTTTTTTTGGCATGTGAATAACATAGCATTAAAGACACTACAGTGCACATAACACTAAATAATGCAATGCTGTCTTTGCCTGTGACAAAATTGCATAACATTAATTAATGTAAAACCATTTTAATTTAGCATTAATTTTAAACAAATAAATATTATCAATTAATTTAATATTTATAAATCTAATTATGTAGTGGTTGGTCAAACTATGGTCGACGTCGATCAATGGTGTTGACCACTTTTTGACAAGAGTTAATGTATAGACCAAAAATCGTGTTGGACCTGACGAGACCCAACATACAAGATATACTAATGATGGCCCAAGACCTTAGTCCAATTCCAATTGGGCCTACACTTAAATCTATCTTGCGAATTGTCCTCTCTATGAGTTCGGCTACCTTGCAAGCCAAGCTAAGCTGGGTCAAGCCCACCAGCCCACAGTAGTCCAAAATAAGAAGTAGAATCCTATTCTATTTCCACTTCTATCAAGATCCTGGATTACAATCATCAATGTTAAGCTTAACCCAATAAGGCGAGGAGATCCGATGTTTAACCCAATAAGGAAAAGAGATGATATCCCTTTCCTAAGAACGACTCCTTCACCTAGTAGGATTTAGAGTCCTACTATAATGGGAACCTCTAGGGTTCACTATATAAATAGGGGCAAATTCCCTTATTATGGATTCAAAAAATCACCCGCAATACCTATTTGCTCTTAAGTTCTTGCTTCCAAGGACTGCCACATTTTCTGGTATATTCCCTTAAGCCCTCACTAAATAACTTCCCTCAGCCTTGCTAACTTGAGCGTCAGAGTGTCTACGACAGACACCACACCACGTTTTTGTGTTCTTTGTGCAGGTATACTGGGTTGTCAGTGGCTCATATCACACAGGATCAATTCTCATAATTTGACAATAGATTTTACTGTCTACAGTTTGGCACCCACTGTGGGGCCCTACCAATCAGCTGATTCGCAACGACTTGCTACCTCTACTCCTTCCTCCATTCAACCACAATGACAGACAACACCGAAACTTTCACGCTCGATGTCACGGCTTAGATTGCTGCTCTCACCACATTGGTGCAAGAAAGCAATGAAAAATACCAGACATTGAAAGCTTAAAACGTTGCCATCCGTGTGGAGAATCAAGCCCTACAAGAAAAGGTAACCCAATTTTATTCTCTAGATTGGTCCTTGAATCAGCATCACGTATCTTCCTCTCAGCTACCCATCAATCCCCGACAGCTATTCACCACCCTTGACCATGACACCCTCTTGGAACTCTCTAGTCACAGTATAGCCCCAACAACAACAACACCCATGATCGAGCTAAGCCGAGCCACGTAGGCAACATATTGCCTACTAGCCCCTCAACCACCAAAACGCACATACAAGCTACCCCATTCCAACTAAACACCCCTTTCACTCTACCCCAAACATACCCAACGAATTCAATGACCGACATTTCTACTCAAACCGCCCTGCTTGGCTCCACTGTACATATCAATCCTAATGTTTTCCCCCAATTCCTAAGCAACCTCCATAACCCCATGCCAACTCCCCTTGATCAAACATTGACCAGAAGGCTTGTCAATATGGAAGCCATGATCCAACGCACCCCTGGCATACCCGCACCTCTTAAGAAAACACAACCCCAAAGCTATACTATATGGATTCACCATTCATAGACACTATAGCTGCCACAGAGATGCCACGAAAATTCACCTTTCCCAACATGAGGCTCTACAATAGAACCACAAACCCAAATGACCACATAGCATCCTATAAGCAACACATGTTTGTCGCGGCTATACCCCGAGATCTTCGTGAAGCATGCATGTGCAAGAGCTTTAGCTCCAGCCTCATGGGATCATCACTCCAGTGGTATACTAACCTCCCAAACAACTTCATCGCATCTTTCGTCCAACTGACAGACACCTTCGTGGAACAGTTCACCAGCAACAAAAAGCTGGAAAAGCTATCCGAGGACCTCTATCGGATTCGACAACATCGCAAAGAACCCCTCTGAGAGTATGTGGGACACTTCAACCGTGAGAAAATCTCCATCCCCTATTGCAATCAAGAGACATCAGTGGATGCATTCAGGAAAGGACTACTACCTGACAGCGAGTTATACAAGGAACTCACCAGGTTCAATTACAGCACTATGGAAGATGTGTTGGCCCACGCCTGGGTAGAAATAAGATGGGAGGAGGATGAGGCCCATCGTGTAAAAGCAAACAACATAGACGATCGTCTTCCCCATCGATTAGAAAGGCGCCATGACTCCAGACAAGCAGAGTCATACCGAGTAAAAAGGGGACCAGCACATGAAAATAGACGTCATTAGGAGCGTCAATCAGCTCGGCACACCGACAGAATACCAATCCAAACCAACAAGTATAATATGCCAGATTATAATTTGAATATAGAGCCCACCGAAGTAGTAGTAGTGATGAAGGAGATGGGGAAAGTAGTCAGGTGGCTGACAAAATTGCCAAACTTTGGGGCCAAATGGGACACCACCAAGTGGTGTGAATTCCACGTAGACCATGGGCATGTAACCGCTGATTGCATTGCCCTTGCCTAGAAGTTGTGGAACTACTAAAGAGGGGTCACCTCCAAGATTTTTTAACAGAGAAAGGGAAGGCCACCTATGCAAGTAAAAGTCGTCAGGTGACATCGCCACCTACTGATGGAATGTGCAGCGTGATATTCGGATGATCAAAGATAAGTGAAGTGAGTTACTCTTCGGCCAAGCATCATGCACGAGCCGCAGCAAGACCTGAACATCACCCTCCAAGACCATGCGTTCCAAAGCCAACAAATCTGACCATTGAATTCATTGACAACGAAGCGACACTGCTTTTAAACCCTCATCATGATGCACTCATCATTACACTATAGATCGCCAACATCCTAGTGAAAAGAATCCTTGTAGATCCCGGCTCCTCAGCAAACATTATGTTCCTTGACGCCTTCAAAGTCATGGGACTAGAGGAATTTAGCATAAACTGGCGATCCTGTTAGTGTATACTAGTGTATGCCCTAAAAACCATTCATGTTGTTGGTTTTAGAGCATTTTGTCTTGTATCTATATATATCATAAATAATAGAAGAAATAGTTCTTCAATTCATATATATAAATTGCTTCCTTTATTCAGTCATGCATTTAAAATAAAGTATGTATATGAATTGTCCAGATGATTCATTTAATCGGTAAATGAATTATCGAAAAGGGTTCCCTACGGAAGCAATATAATTTGGGCAACTATATTGCACAATAGGCATATCGGATGCTTCCGAAAGAAATCATGAGTTGATATAAGTATGGATGACGATGATAGTCATGTCACTAGGGCATTGGTATGGATTAGCGGTTGGTGAACTGTTTTTCGAACGTGACCGAATAACGACAAATCACTTGAAAAAGCATATAGTCAATGATTTATCGTTTGGTTATATCAGTGCACGATGTAGTCCTTTGACCTGAGACATTATAGTCGGATCCGATACAAATGCGTATGGTTCATATGGTGTATAAGTACGAGACTAATCATGTTTCGTATAATAAAGCCTATTTGGTCATGCGTTGTTTGTATGCGGAAACGAACGATGGTCAAGAGGGGATCCATTGACTCGAAAATATAGGATCAGGAATATCGCTGACTCCATCCGGATTCGAGTTCCTAGACGAACATCGATAAATGTCGGAAAATAGAATCTCTGGCCAGAGTCTATTATTAGTCATACAAAAGGAAGTTTGTGATGACGAGTTCCGGACATATTGATCGATGATTTGGTAGAAGATCGAGTTTAAGATTTTTGAAGTTTCATAAATCCGTGCTTAATCAGGATATTTCAATGGAGGGACTTTACCTGCATGGTATGTATGATCTGAAATGGGTTCGATGAAGTATTTCTTCATCGTGGTTTAGGGACTATGGCACATTGCTAGATGTTTACCATAGTCGTTGGGCCTCCAGACAGGTTTTCGGATTCATCCAGAACCGGGTCACTGCTAATCCATGATAGACCTACATGGTCACACCAATAGCCTTGAGAAGTTAGAGAATGATGAGAGAGAGAAATGATTATCCGAAGAGGGCTAGACCTTCCGTGGGTAATGACGAGATTTCTATGGTAATAGTTACATAGAAAATTGTTTGTGACATTTTAAGGTTAAAATAGTCAAGCAATAATTAATTATATTTAATTATTATATCTTAAAGCGTTAAGATTAATGAGATGAAC